TATTTTTAATGATCATTACCACGCATCAGATACAGTTAAAATTCAATGCAAAATTTTAAAAAATAAAATTAAAAAATGTGCTCAAGCTTCACAAGACGCACCAAATCAAATATATCTGAATGAAATTGTAAATTGCAATGTCATAATTTAATCTCAAGTAACTAAAAACGCATCTAAGCAAATCGTAAAAAGGCAGAGAAAAGGAAAAGAACTAGAATCAGTTTCACTAAATTTTATACCTCCCTCGGAACTTCAAAATACAATTTCAGGACAACCTTTCTTTTTGAAAAATGTAATCGAAGGAAATAATAAATTTATGATTTTCACAACAGTTCAGAATTGTATATACATGAGAGAATCACATTTTTGGCTCGCTGATGGAACATTCAAGGCTTGTCTTGGAATTTTTAAACAGATATTTACAATACATGGGTCAATTTCACGAGGTATCAATAGCAACATTTGTGTACTATTGCTATACGTGTTGATGACCAACCAAACTGAAGATGATTATAAAACAGTGCTAAATGTGTTTAATAATTTTGCGATTGAAAATAATATTAATTTCGAAAACAATAATGAACTTGAAATAATAACGGACTTTGAAAAAGCTTCAATCAACGTGATCAATGATGTCTTTCCATTTGTAACGCATTCTGCTTGTTTTTTTTCATTTTTGTCAAAATATCTGGCGTCATATTCAAAAAGAAGGGCTATCTACAAAGTACATGGAAGACCCGGAATTTAATTTGATCCGTCGGCATTTGCCTGCTCTTTCTTTTCTCCCAGTAAACAAAGTACGTATTAAAAAAAATACGTAACACTTACCTTTTTTTATTTTATTACTATCTAATACTTCAGAGTCGTGTAATCTTATTGCAACTTTTAAAATATACTGTTATATTTTTTTTTTAGGTAATCGAAGGTTGGGAAATTGTGAAATTATTATTTAGTGACAACGAAAGAGAACAAGCACTTTTAGAATACTTCGAAAATACTTACATTTATGGTAAACCAGCTATGAAACTACGCGGACGTATAAAACCTCAACGACACCCTCCCTTATTTCCAATTGACATGTAGTCAGTAGCTTCAAGAGTTGATGAAAATTTGCAAAGAACAACAAATATTGCTGAATCATGGCACGGTCGACTTAATAGGTAGGAACAATGTATCAATAGTCATAACATAATTTGTTGCAAAATGAACGTTATAACGTGGTTATAATATAAAAAAAATGTTTATAGATTAGTATCCAAACAACCAGGAATTTACAAATTGATGAGACAATTCCGAAAAATTCAGAATGAAACTGAAAACTCTACAGAACAAATAATTCAAGGCAGAACAAGTAAGAAAATAAAAACATGCAATGAAGAACGGGAACAACGAATTAAAAATTTAGTTCTAAGAATAAAAAATTCAGAAATAAATATTATTGAGTTTTTACGAGGAATATCATACAATTTAAGTTTTTAGTTTTTTTTTTTTATTTAACATTTACATTTATTAATGACTTATTTATCTTACGACTTTTTATATTTTTAAATTAAATTTTTTTCACAGACAATCGAATCAACGAATAATAAATATTATGGTAAAATTGATGTTGTTTTCGTTCATTGATAATTTTGAACATACGACCTTTCGTACACAAAGTCTTTCGAACAGACAATCTTTCGTACACTTGAAGTTCGAACATATGGCATTTGAACACATGATTTTCGAACATATGACACGCTACCTAATCAACTCATACGGTGGTAATTTAATCCACTTGTGGTATAATATAAAATGTGGTATTTTTGAAGAAAAAAAAATGGCATTAGAGAATTAAATTGCAATATTATACTGAAATTAACAAATTTTTTTTTTTTTTTTGTTAAATTACCAACCGTAGTTATATAAAATATTCACAGACTTCAGCTGTAAACTGTTCTGTGATAATTGTATAAATTATAATCATAACCGTGATTACCATTACCAGTTATCACGTTCACATCATTCGTGGTGTAATCACAACTAGGTACTATCCACCATAGATATATAAATATAATAAAAGCTGTGTCTATATTAAATATTTATATTTTATAATCCAAGTTGTGATAGTTTACTGTAATTTACGAATCGATATACGCCCATACATTTGTCATTTGTCAACAAAAAAAGCTAAATAGTAAGTTGAAAACGTTTTCATCTGTTATTGAAATATCTCTATATATGTTTATTTATTTATTTTTTATTAAAATAGAAGATTTAAAATTTGTACCATATTTATAATAAGCAAATAGGATATTAAGATGTGGAAAAGTGATAGTTAATATGAGAAGGAGAGAACTTACATTTTGTATTATGATTAGAGATTTAATAAATCTCTGTACTAGGTCCCGTATTTTTAACCGAAGAGGGGAATTTTCTGGCAAGTTGGCTTGAATGACTATATGTGGGTTGATGCAATGGTGTAGCATGGAACTTGCTGTTTCTGGGGCCTATAAAATACCTAGGTCATCTTTAACACTGAAATTAAATATTATCATATAAATTATTTCATTTTTTATAGTGGCGCTTAAAATATTGATTTCAATACCATATCTAGCACAACAGTATAGTGGCACGAAGTAAGAAAAAAAAACATACATTTTATAGAATAAATAAATAATAATAATGTATACGAGTATTATTATATTAATAATCACTGATTATTATAATAATAATCACTGATTATTAATCAGCAACAATTGTAGTTAGATTGAAATATAAATTTTGAACTGAGAATGTTTTAATAATATATCCAAATGCGGTAGCGTATGTATTTGTACTTTTGTCTAGCAATAAGAAATAAAATAATGGAACATAATGTCCATTTTTAAAAATATGAACTGTAAACAATTGATAGAAATATTTCGGGCAATTATAAAATGTACCATCTACAAATATTTTGTCACTAGAGCATAGCAATTTTAAATTATAATTTGTAGATTAGAATAAAATATTATTTACTGTGTCAGTATTTAGTAGAAAATCTGCTGGAAAGTTCCATATATATAATTTTTATATTATTAGAATTTTAACTAGGAAATCATATTTTCTATTGTTTGTATATACTATAAATGTATTATGCATACAACATACACGAGTGGCGTATATATAACTTTTTTTACGGGGGAAGGGGATCATTTGCAAACTAATCATTATTTTTATTTTATCATTATTGAAACGCCATTATAGGTATAAATAATTTATTCTAACGCCCTCACACTAAGAACATTATTTTTTTAACATATAAAAAAAAGTCTTGGGGGATCTGACCCCCACATCCTCCCTTGAATACACCACTGACTCACACACACGGATATCCATTATGCATAAACACATACAACCCAATGAAACTTTGATAATTTTTGTGACGGAACGTATTCGGGATTATTATATTATTAACCATAATTTTCTACTTTAGTATTAATTGCACAACTTAGATTATGGATGACTTCTTTAAAAAATGAGCCTAAAATGCCATAAAATTTATTAGAATTTCTAAATAAATGCAATGAAAATTACTTTCCAAATGTCTACAGACTATTAAATATTGTGACAAATTTACCCATTACAAATTAACTTTCTGCAGTAGCAGAACTTAGATTAGCTGTTAAGTGCATTAATTAAGTGCATTAAGTTACGAGCCTAGTAATAACTATTATAACCCAGGCAATTTGGACATTTTCAACTTTATTTATTTATTTTTTTTTTTTGTATCTTATTCGTAATGTATTTATATATTATTCATAATGTTGAGTATTCAATTAAAATAACTATATTTTTTTGTTATTAATGCCTTTTTTTAATTGGTTTATTTAATTGATTCTACATGTGTTATATTTTTATAATAAAATAAATATTCGATGCATGAACAGCTTTTTTTCCTACAAGTGAATAAGTTTAAAATTGCTGAATCCCCCCCCCCTAAAAAAAAGTTCATTGACAATTATTATATAGTAAATATATAATACATATTCAGGCCGGTAAAAGTATAGGTGGCCTGGGCGATTGCTCAGGGCGCCAGCATGGAAGAGACGGTAAACTGAAAATTATTTTTATCTAATTTATCTTTTAATACGCATTAACAACCTACAGAAAGTAAGAATATAACTAGGGTTGTCATAAATTAATAAGGTGAAACTGGGACAAAACAAAAATATTATTGAATAATATACTTTTTATATAGTTTTTGATATATTGAGAGAACCATTAATGGCCAGCAATATAATATTTAAAAATATTTATGTAAAATAAAATATATTATATATTTGCATATAAATTACAAATTATGATTTTATTACGATTAAAAATGTACCTTGAAAAAGTAAAATTCTATAAATATATGAATTATGAATATAACAGTTTTTAAACATAAAATACGCGAATTCCTACAAAAAAATTATAAAGTATGCGAAATTATGCAAAAAAAATTTTGCATTTGGAGTAAACTATAGATAAAATTTTTATCGAATCAGAATTTCGATATGCTCTTTTCAAACATATATATAAATGCTTAAATTTCTGAGCCTTATTAATAACCTTATTATAATATTGTATGATCAGATAATAAAGTTAAAAGTTATAATACTTAATTCATTCTAACATTGATTAAAAATACTAGTATTTTACTTTATTTTACTACTACTCAAACTAAGTGGGTTGGGTGGGGAGTGTAAGGGTTTCGCCAAAATATGGTTTCTCTCAGGGCGCCAATACTTCTAGCGCCGACCCTGTACATAATAGTATAAAAGGTATTACTTTTCTATTATTTTGTTTTTTGTAGTATATCGAAGTATATTCTTACATTTCTATCAACTTCCCTCCAAAATAAAACTTTAAATACATGCCTGTTACAACCTAGATATTTTATTATATATGAGATACATATGGTAGGTGTAAATATTTTACTTTCGTTATGTTGTTTGATAGATTAGGTTTTAAAACAAAAGAATCAAACATCACTATAATGGTTTAATACTGTTCTGCTCATTGTTTTAATTTAAAATAGCTTTATAGAAAAAATGTATTATAATTAATTGTCTAATTGACATAAACAAGCAGTGCCTCGATTAATCCAATGATCTCTTGGCCGATCAATTATGAAATTCATTAACATCACAAAATTAGTTGAATGACCAGTAGTTGAAAGAACACCTCGTCGAGCACTTGTTTTATAAATAGGAGCTTCGTAGTATAATTTTTTTTCAAATCGTGACTAAAAAAAAAAAACAAGCAATATTAATGCTTAAATGTCTTAAGATTTATACTCAAAAATTTAAACAATACTTTAATTCCTGGTTTGAAACAAATAATTGGAACCGTATCAAAAAGAATTTTTGGATAAGACTCGTTTAATACAAGTAAATGTCTGTCCCATCTAGCTCCTTCTAAAAATAAGCCCTAAAAAAAATGTTTAATTTAAGAATGTTACACGCTATTTTTTTAACGTAAAATAAGAGTGATAATTAATGTTTTTAAATGCAATTTATCATTAGCAAATCAATTCATCTATATAAACAAAAATATACTACATAAATATATATAATATAATACAAATCTATGTAGGTATCAAATTATATCATCTAAATTATAGGTTATTTAATTATATTGAATGTTCATAAAATTAATTAAAACATACAAAAATCAAATATTATTTACCTTATACATAATAAATATAATAATTTTTTTTAGTAAGAATATTTTTTTGAGAACATTATTTTAGAGTTTGAATGAAACGAGGAAGCAATATTGTTTTTGTTATGATATTTGTTCTTTTGTACATTTTTTTTAATTTGTCATGTCTAGTTACAATATTTTGACCACAAGGATTTCTCCGACCATTATAATCATTGGATGTTTCTGATATTTTCTATTTGATAATTCTAGTGGGAGTAATTTTATGTAATTCCCAATAATTTTATTAATAATTTAAAAATACTTTCGAAAAGTAAAAAAAAAAAAAAAAACGGCGAAATTTGGAGCACATTGGTTTTTGAAAAAATCGATTTTATTTTTATGTTACAACTTAAAAAAATAATAACCATGAAAACTTGAAATGTCACAGAATTCTAATAGTTTTCTATAAATATCCTACTTATTGCGAGCTATTCATACACATTCGAAAATGTCATGTATTTTTAGCTTTTTTTTATAAATATTCGATACGTTTATTTTATGTTCAAAACAAAAATTGAAAATTGTATATAACAGGGTCGGCCAAACGGTGGATCGCGATCGACCGGTCGATCACGGACGATTTCAGAGTCGATTATGTTAGAATTTATTTTTAGACCACATGCACAAAAATTAATCGTGGTGGTCTTGAACAAATTGCCGATAAGTTTTACCTGTAAAGTTTTTATCTTTTATTCTGGTTTATAAAAAAAATTTCCAAGAAAGTCGATCTTCAAAGGTGAAGTATATTTTCAGTAGATCGTGGCCGAAAAAAGTTTGGTCACCTCTGGTATATATAATATAATGTAATCGTTATTTTGTATATTATTCTTTTTATTTAACCATCTGTTGGAAGCTTGACTTATACTACAGATATTATCCTGTATATGTCAAGTTTCTCTTTAACAATATGTGTTAAATATATAAAAATGTATGTGTATACCTTAACAAAAACGCTGAATTCCTCGATTTCCAATTTTTCCTTTGCGATAAAAATTATGAGAGCATGAAAAAATATGAGCTTTTGTAAATTTGTAACAACTTATAATAATAATAACCATTCAAATATTTGTATAAATTTAAACATACATAATTTTTTCTATTACTTACACAATACTTTTTTTTTATACGAATCAAATACCAATTTCATAATCAAAAGTGATACAATTACTTAACATAATATGCAATAACAACAAATACAAAGTCATATATTAAATCTTAAAACACCAATATATTTTGGCCATCAATCAAATTTTAAATAATAATATCTAAAACTTTGTAAGACTTACCCGACAGTACACTCCCCACTCAGGCATTTTCATTACTTCCATTTCTGATTCAAAATTAGTGACTTCAAACTCAAAGCCAAGTTGGTCTATTGGTATTTTATGTTTACGTGAAAAGTTTTGAAGTACACCCGATAAGAAAGATTGAGTAAAATAAAAACCAGACAGCCAAAAAACTTCTGGTATCCCGTTATCAAGCCAATCTTGTAAGAATTTTAATCTAAAACCCATTAATTAATATTTAACTTTTATTTTATTTGAAAAATAGTTCTAATGTTACCTCTGTAATAAGTCTGTGACATAACCACCCAAAGGTTTTAAGGATGGGTACGATTTATTCATCCAACTAGCTGGAACTCTACCAATAACTAAACTGGTATGTAATTCTTCTAAGTCAGATGACATAACAACAATACCTTTGATAGCTTTTTGGACTTCCACTAAGGATGTTTTTATTATGTCTAGTAGTTTGTTGAAGCGAATCAATTCCTAGATAATAATAAAAATAATAAATAAATAAATAATAAAAATATTTTCAATTAATTTTAAATTATAAATATAAAAAATAATATGTTTAAATAAATCAATATAATACCTGTCGTATAACAGTATTCATTGATTGCTCATATTTCATTGGATATTTTTCAGTAGCTGCTTCTACATCAAATAAATCTGGTATATTTTCAGCGATATTATTAGCTAGCTCTATAATTTTATCATCTACATCTGTATCACAGCTTCCCGTTGCAATTTGGGATTGAGTTAAAATGGTGCTGTTCAATAGCTATAAACAAATTATTTTATAATATTATACTATTTTATGAAATAAAATATAAGGATTATTATAATGAATGTTCAAACCAAATTAGTTTCATAATTATTTTTCGTTATATCAGCATTTTCATGTAAGCCGAATACTTCAGGTTGTGGATTTATAGGCAAAGTCTTAATATAATCTAAACACCCATTATATGTGGTATCTTTTGGTACGTAATATTTTCCACTTTCAGAAAATGTATACCTATTACATTATTAAAGATGAAAATTAAAACAAAGTAATCACGAATTAAATACATTTTAAAATTGTTGCATTTTTGAGTATATTATTTATTATTTAAAGAAGTAAACAAAAAAAAAAAAAAAAATTATAAAAACTCAATAATTATTTATTAAAATTATTAAATAGCAGTCATGTAACATTAGCATAGTAATTCGTAAAAAAAATTTACTAAAGTACCTAATTCTTGGGAGGGAGTCATCTTGAAAGACGAGTTCAATATAACTTTGAAGCTAATGAAAACATGTAAAGCCGCAGGTATAGACGACATATCAATGGAACTAATCCAACATTTGAGTACAGAATTACAAGATGAGCTATTTAAATTAATGAATGTATGTATACACTACGAGAGAGATCCCCAAAGTTTTCAAGGAGAGCATTATAATACCTATACCTAAAAAAGCAACGACTGATAAATGTAATGAATTCATAACGATAAGTTTAATGACATATGCAGTCAAAATCCTAATAAAAATAATATACACTCGAATCGAGAACAGTAGAAAAAGAGTTAAGCGATGATCAGTTCGGATTTAGAAGGAACAAAGGTACTAGAGAGGTAATCTTAAGCTTAAGAGTATTAATAGAAAAACCAATAGAATTTAATAAAGATACATTTATAGCGTTTAGAGATTTGGAAAAGGCTTTTAATAAGATACCGGGGAAAGAACTATTCCATAATTTAGAAGGAATTGGAGCTAAAATATATAATTTACACAAAGACCAATCAGCTACAATAAAAGTAACGGACAAAAAGAGACAGCGATAATTTGAAAGGGTGTAAAACAAGGTTGTCCACTTTTGCCAATTTTATTGAATATCTATATTGAACAGCTTATTAAAGAAATAAGAGAAACACGGCCCAGAAATAATATAGGCATAAGTGGGTGGTAAAATAATATCCTTCATAAGATTCACTGTCGATATTGTCATACTTTGTATATTATGTATTGTAATATACTAACAAATAATGAGCAAGATTTGGAAAAAATCACTGGAAAAAATTACGAGATGCTTCCAAAAATATAATTTGATAATCAACTAGCGAAAAACTAAAATTATGATGTACCAAAAAGAAAACCAAATTCTTAGAATAAATATCCAAACAGGGAACAAACTGCTTGAACAAATAGAATATTATAATACCTAGGCAGTATAATCAACCAAGAAGGAAGATACATCATAGAAATAAAATCCAGAATCGCACAGACAAAGTAAGCATTTATGAAAAAGAAAAAATGTTATGCTCCAATAACATGAGTATATAGATGAGTAAAACGTTTCATAAAAGTATATGTATGGAGTGTGGCACTCTATGATTTTAAAACATGGATATTAAATAAAGCAGAATAACGAACACTCGAAAGCTTCGAAGTGTGATGTTGGAGAAGCATCCTGAGAGTGAGTTGGATAAAACACCGTACAAATGAAAACATACTCAGTGAAATAGATGAACGAAGAGCAATACTCAAAGCCATCAGAACAAGACGATGGAACATGATGGGACATATACTAAAACACGAAAATAAACTAACCCATAGAATAATAGAAGGGACAATTGAAGGTAAAAAGGACTGAGGACGTCCGAGAACTTCATTTATCAAATAAATGATCTCCGAGGCTGGACTAACGAACTGAAAAGGCTAGCTGAAAATAGAGAAGAATGAAGAGCGAATATACAATTGCAAAACCAACCTTAAGGGTTGAATACCAAAAAGTAGAAGACCTAATTCTTATATATTTAAATTTTTTTAAATTTTATTAATATGTCAATTCATTTTCTTGTTTATTTTTAGTTTAATTTGATGTGAGATTTAACTATACTCTTAGGTATAAAATACCGATTTTAGAAGGTTAAAAAACTACCCAAGGTTCCTTAATTATATAATAAGAAGTTATAAAACAATGTAAATATATTACTGACACATATTGAATATTCTCAAATATTCTATGTTAGTATTTACTTACAAATCATGATCAATAACATCTGAGTTGAAAAATATTGAAAGTAGAGATGATAATAAACGTCTATCTTTATCGTCAGTTACTCGACCACCATAATTGCACTCTCCAATTAAATACAGTAACGCTGCATATGGTATTTCATCGTAATCATTTAAAAACATCTAATGGTAATTTTATTCAATTATTACAAATAAAGTATAATTTATCAAAGTAAAATGGGTGTATTAATACTTGTAACTGCATAACACTAATGTTTAAATCAGAGTCATTAAATTCATATGGAATATTCCAACCAAGTGAACCAAATTTTCGTCGTTCTTGAATTATCCCATGGAAAAAGCATAATGAAAATATTAATGTTCTCAATTCTGAACTCTTCTTACATTCAAGGTAAAATTCTGGATTGTTAATAGGATTTGTTGTATATGAGCGAAATAGGTTTGCTGCAAGACCTTTTGGAGCTTCATTAATCATTTTAATTCCTATAGTGTTGGATTCAGAAAAAATTAAATAAACTATATAACTCATATTAATATTCAGATTACCATTCTGTAGTATAGAAACAGGAAAACTGTCGGATGGATAACTAGTTAACCAAAGACGAAATGATTTATGAGTACGATTTAGTTCAATGTCTTCATCACATATGCGATCAAGTTCTTTCATCCAACTAACAGCCAAATGACAGTTTTGTAACACGACCCATTGACCAGTCACTATACCTGTTTTTATCATGCTAGCTGCTATTGGACCCTACAGTAAATTTAAATTATTATAAAACGATTAAAACAAAAAAAATTTTATTTTATTCTTAGAATATTTATTCATTAATTAAATTATAAATATATATTTAAATTACTTGTCCTTGACCAAGTGATATAGTTATTAAATCATTCGGACTAGCTTGTTTGTCTTCAGAAAATTTAATTAAACTTGACATTGGATCCGTCCCTGGAGATAATATAAATATTAATGGTGTACAACAATTCGAGTCTTTATATGAATCCATCAAGTCAAATGATGGAGGTTCTATGTATTTTTGACCCAAACTATTTATAATATATTGCTGAAATTATTTAAAAAATTCAAAATAAATCATAAATTCATTAAATGTAATTGTAACATGTAACATATTGATATATATATACCTGAACAGCTGGCACTACTTTATCAGAACGAATACATTTTATTATTATAAGTTTTTCAAGACCATCAATATTTTTAAATGGTTCTGGAATAGGTAAATCTTGTGGATTATTCGAGTCATACCAGAATTTCCATGCATCAATTGAATCAATAATCGATTTATAAAATTGGTTTAATCTATAATTCATACTCAATTAAATAAATTTATATAACTATTATAAATATAAAAGAACACAATTTACTTATGTATTAGTTTCAGTATTTGTACTCGCTATATATCAAATTTAATTAAAATAATTACATAAATATATTATATTTTTGCATTATTTATGATGTTAAGTGAATATATATTAGATTTATTTTTAATTTATAAAACAAATAACTATTAAATTATTAACACAGTAGGGAAAAAATTGAACATTCTATAGCTAGTTTTATTAAAAACATTTTTAAGTATACAGAATCATGTTTGTAAAAGTTTAGAAAATAATATAGTAGGTAGGTATAACATGTATATTGAACATATATTCTGATTATAATAATTAATAACCTTTAAGATTAAAATGTATTTATTTAAATGTATAACGAACTCTTCACTCCAGAAAAGGAAAAAATCTAGATTTAAATTATTATGTTTTTTACTTTGGTAATTCAGATGCTTTAACAGCTTCATTCCATGATTTATCAGTTAACCATTTGGGAGCAGGATTTCGATGTAGATTATTTAATCCGACTCCTCCAGTAAGGAAAAATGTAAATAATTTGTCATCCAATTCTCCCTGTGATAAATATAAGAATACACGTTAAAAATTAAAACACAAAGTATAACTAACAAATATAATACCTTTGACCGAGAAATTCCTGTGGTTAATATGAAAGAAAAAATCAATTTGTCTTTTTCAAACAAAGATCTACAAATGTTTCGATAGGTACTATACGTAAAATAATCATTCAAAATATTTATTCTTTCGTTAATGTCATCTGATTTTTCACTTTGTATTATTGACTAAAAAAAAAAAGCTTTATTAATATGATAATGATAAAATGTTTATACTACGTAGGTACTAAACGATTATAAAATATAATACTCAGATGAAATATACCCAGAAATATATTAAGGTGTATAATATACATTGTATATACATATAAACATGAAATAAAATCATAATCAAACCAATATATAGTTGAATATTAAATAAATATGTGTATATTAATAAATAAAAAACAATTTATGTATGTATCTAATTTCCTTTTATAATGTATATACTAAATATGCACTGAATGTCTATACATATATTATATATTTTAATGTATATACAATGAATTCTTATTTTAACACTTACCTGATGAAATAAGTTTAAAAACCAAGATAATGAATATTGATACATTGGATCAATATTACTTAAATTAGTGATACAGAAAAATAAAACTGAAGAATGTTTGGATACAGGAATATAAACATCACGAGCTACATCAATTTCTTTTTCAGTTATGACAGCAGTTTCTTGCTTTAATTCGATTTCGGCTGATAAAGACTAAAATCATATATAGTTTGAATTATGAATAATGAATTATATTTTTTATAACTATAAGTTAGGTAATTTAAATACTTTTGATGAAGACAAAATTTTTATTGCTGATTCATCCTCTAAAATATTTCCCTCGGAAGATGAAAGAACATGCAATATTTTGTCTTCGATTTCTTTAAGTAATTTATTGTTTTCAGCACTATCAATTATTAACTTATTTTTCTTTTCCTCCAACTGGGGTCGCTCTTTAGCAACAACAATCCCAAGCAATTGATCTTGTAATCCTTGTTGCGTGATCATAAAGTTTAGTAAAGTTACCTAGATTGTATTAAAAACAAATAATTATAACAATACAACTTATTTTTTACTTTCCGTAATGTTCAAAGACAAACGCAAAATACATTTAAAAAAAAAAAAAATATTTTTTAATAACTAAAATAAATATCAGTGTAGAGAAATTATTTTTAATTACTAATATTCTATAAATTATTATATTCACAAACTAAACATTTTACTAAGATAATTAAAATATAACTAATTGTAATTTAAAAATATAGATTTAAAATTTTCCCTTACTTCATATAAAAATAAAAATCTTACTTTAACAGCAATATCAGGTAAATAATGAGGATTTCTAAGTCGTGTAGTAATATAAAGTCTAAATGAATGGTTGTACTCCAATAAATTATCACCAAATTTTAAATAGTCAATTCCTCCTTGTTTGTAAATACTTTTTAAAAGTACTTGATCTATTAAAAAAAAAAAAAAGGAAAATAACTAAAACTATGAATATAAATTTAGATTTCATTAACTAAATTTAACTTTAATTAATTTAAAATTAATTGTATTTGATGTTATATTAATACCAAGTATAGGATCAATTTCTTCTAGTACATTTTCCAAAAGAACTGGTAAACCATGTTCAATTGCTAATTGTAAAGTAGTTATATAATTTGAATTTGACAGTTTAATTACAGACATTTGATTTTGAAGTTCCACATTTTTTATCCATTTATTTGCTTGACCTTGAGGGTCAATCATAAGAGGCCATCTTGTAGCACTGTATAAAATGATTCCATTCTCCATTGAAAAATTATCAGCTGGAAGTCCATTAATATTCCATGCCCGAATTAATACTTGTTCTCCTAATGTACGAATTAACGAAAATTGTTTTGAACATGGAATATTCATTTCTAAACTTTTCTGGTTCCATTTTTCAATAAGTTCCTGAAAATTACTTTTCATTAATATTTTAATGAATATATGAATAAATTATATATATATATAAATAGAATACTAACATTTCTAAAATCAACTGTAAATGCCCCAAGATAAGCAACAACACCTGAAGATAATAATACATCACCAATTGCATTATCAAGAGTTGATTGTAATTCTTTAGCGGTTTGATTCCATCTATATTTTTCTCCACCAAGACCACTAATTAATTGTTCTGCTCGAGTCAATTTTTGAGAACACATATCAATATTATCTTCTAATTCTTTTTTCTCTTTTGTCTTTTCAGCCAGTTCATCTCTCAATGTTTGAAGTTTACTCAATACACTAGAAAGTTCTGCTCTTTTCTCGTTAAGTTTTTCCATTTGTATTGCATAATCACTTTCCGCTTGATGAAGCTTTTCTTTTTTAGGTCCCACAATTTTTATCACTTTATCATAAACATCTAATGCTCGTACCCATTTACAAAGACCTTCACATGCATTAGAAACCGATTTGATACTTGCTGGATTAAAGTTTGGATCACTAATGTATCTGTAAAATATTGAACATGTATTTATTTATACACAAAGTAATTTATTACATTTTTTATAATTACTTTTCTCGTATATGTTTCATGATTGCTGGATCTATATTATCTTTATCATAGGTTTTTAAGCTTTCTAAAAATTTAGTATCTGAAATAAGTTTCTGTGAAGGTCCCCAAAAATCTTCAATCATTCGACCACTGCCACTTGGATCTGGTTTACGTTCAGATTTAATGCCTTTCATTACACAAACTGCTTCTAATACCAACTTCACTCCATATGGTGGGTTTTTTCATTGACTTAACTACAGTAATATCAGCAGGCTTTAGAGTATTTAAAGCTGAAACTGCTGCTTCAAGAGCTGGAATAGCTTCAGCTAAATCACTTTCACAATCATCTTTAATAGCTTGAGATGCAGCAGCAGCTTCATTAGCAAGAGCTTCGTCAGCTCCAACTATCTAACAAAATGTTGTAATTATTAATTTAATAATAATTAATTATAGATTATTTAATTTGAAAAAGTACTTCTTTTTTAGCTTCAACTTTAACTGTATCTTGCTCAATCTTAACCATAAGAGCTTCAGTTGCTAAGGACGTTTCAACTAATTTTGGCCTTAGAGCAGTTAATTGATCTTGCATAACAGAAACTTGACCAGCAGCAAAGTCTAATTTTTTTAAGCCTGTTTCATATCTGTTTCGTAAAGTAGTAATGTCATCTACTTTTTTCTTATGTAAATTTTTAAATATTTTGATTAACTCTAAGTATGAAGTCGGAGTAACATAATTATATCTCTTTAATGTTTTATAAAACCTAAAATAATAGAATAAAAGACATATTTCTCATTAATCTAATCAGGTAATAGGTAATAACTAATTGTTATTAAAAAAAGTATATTAGTTATTCTCTCATAAAGATTTTGCAACATTTGACAAATAACATATATTTTTAAATTTCATAAGCTTTATTTATCTTTAGATCGATTAGTTAAGCCTAAACTAACCACCTGGCGTTAAACGAACATGTAAAGTAGTTAGTATATTTATATAATATTTTTAGAGTTAGACGAGTGTGGTTTTTTTGTGTTGAGTCGAGTTCAAAATTTGAGTACTCAAAAAAATGCCGAATATTTGAGGAAAAATTCCGAATACTTGACAATTTGTAATGTTAAGAACTCAAATTTTTTCGATTACTTGATAAATGTCAAATACTTGGAAAAAAAGTCAAGTAGTTGAAAAATTTCGAGTACCTACTGAAGAAAAAAATGTGATTATCATTTTGTATAAAATCTCGTTATCATGATTACAAAATATCAAAATAATAACAATCTATTGATGTTAATTTAAATCATTAACCCAAGGCTTATGGATTATAGTCAATTATATTATTAAACTTAAATTGTATACAATTATTAACCATATTTTTTTTTTCAATTCCTTAAATTTCTTGGAGGGTTTTAATGTGTGTTACATTATTTAATATGTTTTGATAAAATATGAGATTGATTAACAATTAAAATTAATTATTACATGATCTTGTGTATCTAATATTTAATATTAATAATGCTTTATCATAATTTTGACTTTCAACACCTTTTTGTTTAAGCCACCCTCCTCCCCCCCAAATGTCCACCTATGGTGAGTACTCATCCAAATTTAAATATTATTAACAAAAATAAAAAAATAAAATTAATAACTAACAATAAAGAATGAAAGAAAAGAACGTATGTATAATAGTTACCTAATAGAAGCATCTCTAGCTGTTGTATGAAATTCTTTACAAATTGTTACACATGATATTGCAATATCGTGAGGAATTGACATATCATGTAAATAATACTCTGCAACTTTTTCAAGAGCATCTTCAGGCCAAACAGTAAACCTATTTTATTAACAAACAATATGTTTCTAATAAAACATTGAATTTCATAAATATAATTTTGCTTTACTAGAAATATGCATTATATAACTATTTTAAACATATACATTTATATAAGCTAACGGTTTAAATAAATTTTATACCAATCTATTGTACAACAATTAATCAACGAAGGAAACATTCTTAAGCGATTTCTAAATGCATCTCCAATCGGTGACATGGCTAAAGTAAGATGAAGTTTTTCTTTAACTCTTTCTATAAAGAAATTATATAAAGCAAGAGGTGTTGTATCGATTTTTTTTCCCTGTAATCCAAAATTATAAGGATGTTAAATAAGATTTGTATGCTATTTTTTACTATTCATTATTACATATTCTTCCTTAATTCATATTCATAATAATACTAATTAGTAACAAACTATAGGTACACAATGTTTTATTATTTTCAGAATAAATTATATAACAAACATTTTTATAAAAATTAACTTTTAAAAATATATAACATACCTGACTCTGAGCAATATTAGAAACTTTATCTAAAATATCAATTCGTTCTTCAGACTGGTACAGATTTGGTATATCTCCAATGTTTAGTAACATACTTATATCTTCTACAAAACTTTCATTTGTGATTTGATTATCAGACAAAAAAAATGTAATAGGTTTTCCTTCACATCCAGCATATTTTAATACTTTTTTCATATCTTCATTCCACTCATTTCTACCATAATTCCTTCCTATTGCCACCTAACAAAATTGTACATATAATATACATATGATTTATTATATTTATTACATTATAATATTAATAAAATGTAGGTACTTGGAATATTTTAAAATCTGCTATAAAGGTTGCCAGTTTTGTAGCTGATTGTCTTCCACTACCACCTATTCCGACTAATAACAAATGACCATTGTCTTGTTGCAAGACTCTACTTATACGAGATACATGTTCAATGGCAAATTTGAACATCACCATCGATAATGGATTTTTAGAAATAGTATTATATTCATTTAAATAATATTCCATGCGTTGGATTAGTTGCTTTTCATTATGAATTTCATCATATATTTTTGTATCACTATCTGGATCCATATAATTACCATAAAATAAATTTCGTAAATGATTGAAATTTAAAAAACTTTCTTCAACTGGCATTAGATCACTAAGATAAAGGTCCATTGGCTGTCTTAAACAGTTATACGATGCAATTTTCATTATATCAAATAATTTAACTCGATCATCATCATTGACTAATCGATCTCCAAACACACGCCATGTTTCATGGGTCCAGAGCCGGAACATTTTTTCAAGTGTTTTACATCGAGATGAGGGTAACAAAATTATGCCTTTTATAACTCTGGTAAAATCACGAAGATTGAAAGTATAATGAGATTTTGCTGGGGTTGGTAAAAATGTCGAGACTGCTTCTTTGTATACAAACAATATGGCATCTACAAGACTCTAAATTAAATTTTAATAAAAAATATGTATACAAATGTTTTTAAAAATGTATGAGAATATACTTTTCCTTGCAATGATATAGTCTCAGGAAATCCTTTATTAACATGCCACTCCACAATTTTATTGAATATTTTGGACATAGTTTCTTGACTGAAAGAATCTATACCTATAGTATTCATATGTCTTGTAAAACGTGTAGTAACATTATTTGAACCACCCCCCAGGAGGTTGAAGTACACCAATAAATAACTGAAGATGAAACAACAAGTTATAAAAATGAATATATTAACTATTGCAATGAATAATAATAAATAATAGAGCTAACCATATCAAGCATATCTATTCTTGACATTGTTTGTAGATCATACCAATGATTATGATTAATCCATTGTCTTAATAATTCTATTGGTGGCTGAGCACCATATTTTTCAGGTAGTGGCATGCTTAAATCATCTATGAATAACATACATTTTTTACCAACTGATGGTCCAAATACTCCTCTTCTTCGTCTGTAAGACAATAATTCGTAAGATTCATGTCTGATCAATTATTTAAATCATTATACTTGTCTAATTTCGAAATTATTATATCTTGTACTGTATTAGCTGCTGTTAGAGCTGAGAAGTTAAGAACATTGGCTAAAAATTTTTCCTTTGGTAAGTGTAATAAGTAATCGAGCACTAAAACTGATTTTCCAGTACCAGTAGGCCCAACAAATAATAAAGGAATTCCATTTTTTAATAACATGTGAAGAAAATACTGCTGTTTTGCAGTTTCATCTGTTCCAATAATTAGGTCATTTATCTATGTAGGTAATGAATCAAGTTATATTTACCCAGTTAGTTTTTATTTTTCGAATAAGAAATGATAACTAAATTACTTTTGTATGTAGCAAAATAATAAATAAAGTTTTATATATAGTATTTACTTTAGAGTCTGGAGGAATTCTTTTCAAATCTAATTTTTCAGACCATAGAATCCAAGAACCATTATTTTTTTTATCGTATACATAGTCGTAAACTGTACCAACATCTGGAAAGAGTTTGTTTTTTGACAATTTGAAAGTAACTGGTTTTTGATATTGGTCAATATTTCCAAGAATAAGTTTCCGGATAAAAGTGTCAAATTTATTTCGATCATTGCCCTTAATTGTAGAACCAAGACTCCAAATTAAGCAAAAAATTGTTATACATCCTAGCCAAATAGATCCAATTCCACCTCCGGTTTCTTCTTCAATCAAACATTTAATTAGCCTAATAAAAGACTACAAAAAACATTCTATGCTGTTGATAATTATAATTAAAATAATTTAACCAAAATATTATTACTTACATTAAACATATGATTTTCAGACGTAATTAAAAACAAACTACAATGTTTGTATATAAAATCAAATATGGCAGGTACCAACCATTCAATCATTTGATCCATCATAATTTGATTATCTGGCAGAAGTTTCGGCCAAAGAATTTGTTTGTATGAAAACCAAAACGAACGCCAACCGAGCTGTTTTGGTTCTACATAAATCATTCCACAACGAGATACAGTTGCAGGAGAAGCTTGTTCTAAATTAGCAGGTTCAAATACCATGTTCATTTTATTATTCATCTATACAACAGTAAATCAACAAGTATAAATTATAAAATTCAGAATTTAATTATTGGTAATTTATTTAAACCTGAATAATTTCTCCAGACATCAAACATAGTTTTTTATTATCATCCAATACTGTATTCATATTTTCTATCCATATTGCATCAATCGGCCCATCAAATACAATCCATTTTCGTTCTTTAGTTGTACTACACGCAAACTCACGAAATATAATTGGTAAGACTCCTAAAAGTATAATAAATAACAATTCAAAAGTATCAATGTTATATAAATAAAAACTCTTATTTACCATCGTGCCATTCATGTGAGACTCCGTCAAATGATCCATATAGTTGACTAAGAGTAATGGATTTTGGATTGATAATTTTATATATAGTTTTAAATTCTTTCATAGTAGCTTTGCGGTCCAGTTGTAAGTCTCCTAACGATTCTGCCAAAACCTAAAGAATTCAGTTAACATTTTTATAAGAATAAAAATTGCAATTAAAGTAAGATCAGCACGAAGAACAAAACTAAATTAGCATTTAAATAATTAGTAGAGTAATGAAAAAACCAATATTTTTCAACCTCTTCGCATAATTATTAAATGCAAAGTAATATTGATTTGCTCTTTGCTATATTTTATTTGAAAATTTTTAATTTGTCGTATGATTGAGTAATATTATATTTATGATTCATTAAGTACATACAAAAAGTACCTTAAAAAATTGTCTTTATCTTTACAATATTTTTATGACTGATTAACCCCGACTCAATCAACTGACATTATTCTTGTTACATGTGTCAATAACAATGCTATTCTTATCAAAATTTGAGATTCTAATTAAATTAATGAATTACTCCAAAATCAGACGAAAAACTTTTCACACAGACCTTATTATAAGAGATTTAGTAGAATTAAATTAAATTATCATTTATTAAATAAATAAATGGGTGATTTCCTCATGATATTATACATGCTATTATAATAATTTTATTATGCAATCAAATTTACTCATTGTAGTCATTATCATAGGCGGAAATCAGGAGGGGGGGCTAAGCCCCAGCCCCCAAAGAAATGTGAAGTACAGGTTTTGGCCCCCCTTAACCCTAAAAATTGTAAAGTGACTAAAAATACAAAAATTATTATAATTGTAAAATGCATTTTTAATAACTGAATTAAAAAAAAAAATATTCTGTGATAAAAATTAAATCAAATTCGTAAGATTTTACAAACTTACTGTCATGACTTGGAATTATCGTTATTAATGTAATAATAATAATAATAATAATAATATGTAATAATACCCGTATTGGTTGTTTAATTTAATTAATTAATAATTTTTGTTTAAAATACCTACTCCAAAAATGTTTAAGATAAGGCACCTAATTGTTTTTTTAGTAAAATTGTTGAGTATGTCAAATTGTCAAACTTTGTAAATTACCTTGTTCAAATAAATAATTTCGTACAGGGGTACCTATAGGTGTAATGAGCAAATAATGCTTAGCCCCCCCCCCTCCCCACTAATTTCACCAAATTTCGGCTTATGGTCATTATATAGATTCTAAATTATATTTTAATAAATATACCTAATTTTCAAAATACATACTATAAAATTGTTGTTAATATTTTTCTTAGTTAAATCTTGTTAGTTTAAAAAAAATTATTGTAATTACAAATCCCTTAATACCTGATATGCACACGTTTTTCCAGACAATGGTTCACCAACTACCATAAGTCCATGTCTAACTAATATCATCTCATATATTTGTATTATTTTTTCAATAAACCACTCGGTGGATTGTAAATTTCTTTTCACTAGATTTGCTTTTATTTTATTAATAAGCTCTTCTCTATCCGGTATCAATAGTTCGACACCAGGAAACAAATCTCCATAAATACCAATAAAAAGTGATACATCCTAATAGAAAAAGTCAAAATGTATAATTTTAAAAGTATTATCTGATTAATTTGTTAACAAAACACACCTCTGATGTAAATTTAGGCATGTTGACATCATAAATAGCTCTTAATACAATTTGAGATTCATTCTTATCAGGATATTTCATTTTTAAGTTTTCTATAGATGTTAAAACAGATTTTACTGCTCTCATTCCATAATCATAATGTGATTGAGATGATAATTGTTCTGAACATAATTTATATGTATCAACAATTTTTTCAGCCAAACTATAATATAAATTTATTTAAAGGTAATTTGCTCAATGTATTATTGTTATAATACATACTTATTAATGTATAAAAATGAACTTACCTCCTAGCATTACTGAAACCCATAGAATATAGTGATATCTCACCAATCATAGCGTAATCTGGAACCATCATAGCAACTGTACGGAACAATACTTTCAAGTTATCAGGTAGTTCTTGTCGTCCAGCATATCTTAATAATCATATCATTTTTTTCAATTAAGCAAATAAAATACTAAAATTTATTAAATTCATTCTTACCCAGGATTCATTGTTATAAAAACTGAACAAGTAGGGTTTAATGTCAACTCTATACCTTCAAAAATAAATTTTTCTTTTTTAGCTTTTATTGCCATCTGTATAGTATTCACTTGCTGAGCAATAACTGATAATACCTCAAGTTCAATTCTATTAAACTCATCAAAACATGCCCATGCTCCAGATTGAGCCAATCCCTAATAATAAAAAGTACATACAAATCATTTTATAATTATTAAGTATTTAACAAATTAAGAATTTCCAAAATATTATCAATAAATACAATACATTTGAAATTATTAATGAACAATAATTGTGATTATAAGTACATATAATTACATATTTATTGAAATAATTACTGTCATAGTTAATTAAAGAGTACATACATTTAATAAAATATCCCTAGTATCTTAGGAACATTTTTAATAAATAGTTATAACTGTATTCTAAGAAATACTTAAAATATGCACCAAATAAAATATACTAAATGTAAAATCAAATATTTAAATTAAACTAATAAAATACTAGTGTTTTATTATATTTTATTTTAATTAATATTAATACCATGACTCTTGTGTGAATTTGACAGCAACGATAAAAGTAACAAAAAAAAAATGTTAATTTACCATTAGAGATTTGAAGGTAAATTATATTTTACTAACCATAAAAAATTTTCCCATAGCTTTAAAGTCAAGTCCTTCAGAACAATTAAACACAACACATTGTTTAGCTACTGCTTTAGCTAAATCTTTAGTGGTTTCAGTTTTTCCCGTACCAGCTGGGCCTTCTGGAGCACCACCAAGATTTAATTTTAATGCGCCCATAAGCGTTCTATTTAATAAAAAAAATATCATCACAGGTTTTCACATTTTAAATTAAATAAATACTCACCTATAACAACGATCAGTTAATGGAGTAATCACTAATCTTGGTGTATTACCCAAGTATTCATTACCATAGTCCAGAGTAGTAGTTATCATTGACACAGTAGTTTTTGAATCTTTATTATAGTATCGGAGCTGACTAATCCAATTAAAGTCTTGATGATTGTTTACTTTTAGACTATTAAGGTTTTTAACTACATCACGAGCTTAACACATATTCAATACAATATTATTCAATATTATTATTAATATATTATTATTAAATTGTTAAATAAATTACCATGAACATCTATAACTATTAAAGCACATACTGTTGCCCTTTCACCTTTGCTCAACGTGCCACGCACCAAATTTACTAAATCTTGAATTTGTTTATTACTTTTATTTAAATATTTCTAAAAATGCAATTCATTTAATTTTTATTTTGTTCTGAGAATAAAAGAAATATTTTCATACTAATAGTGAATTTTGTACAATAGCAGTTTCTACTTCAGAAGTCCAATTGATACTTGCAGCACATAAAACTACCATTCCTGGCCATTTAAGTACCCATACAACACGCTGAGAGTTACTGTATTCTTTTGCCGCATTATTGATGATTTCACTTATTGATTGCATCATTAAAATTTCAACTTGAATTAACCATTTTTCAACTAAGCCCTACAAATAAAAAAAAACCATAATTTATCTTTGTGTTTCAATATCATAAATATATCAAAGAAATCGTTTAAGTTTTTACTTTAGCATCGGCAGGATAAATTATTCCATTTAGGGCTACTACTTCACCATCTGCCGATATCATTCCCACAATCTCTATGCTTTTTGTAAAATTTAATTTGGAAATACCTTCAAATAATTTTTTAAGATGTGGTTGTACTCGTAGAGGGTCTTTAGTTTCAGATAAAATTTCAAGAAGTTCATCATTTGATAAAAAGAAAAATCTGTAATTTTTACAATATTTAAAAAATATCTAATACTATTAGATAACACCATATAAAATACCGTGGAAAAAATAAACGTTTTTTTTCCAAATATTCGTTTAAGCCTTTTTGTATTTGCTCAAACATAATACTACAATTTTTGAGAAGTTGTAACATATTTGGATAATTAGTAGCTTCCAGAACTTTTGGATTATTAACAGTATGAATCATAATTTGACGCCAAATAGAATCTACAGCTCTAAAATTTCTTGCTTCTTCCGGCATTTGACGATTTATGTCTTCAGAACTAAATATTGGGCCTAAATACATCCAAATCCCTTGCACCTATAAACATATATTTTCATATATTTCAAATAATATTTATTTAAAAATATTGAAATCCACTATTACAAATTAAATACTTATTTCAGTTAACTTAATACTTAATATCAAATCTATACCAATCATAAAATAGGTTTATAATAGTATAAATATATTAAAATATTATTATAATTTATATCAAAATATTATTATTATTAATAATCATTTGTTTATAGAGATGTGCAATAATAATTATAATTAAAATAATAACAATACTGTATAATAAGTAGGTATTAATTAAATTAAACTTTTCGTATTAAATTAATGTTCAGTATTACTTACAGAAATCCATAAATCTAAAATTTCTTGCATCAAAATTAATTTTTTTTCCCATGCATCCATTTCTGTTTCAAACGGTTTTATATACACTGACCCATGCATTGTCTGGGCCTTGAGTATATGATCATCTAACATAACCTGAATGTCATCCAACGATGTTAATATACTAACACCACTATCCCGATATGGACTACATTTAAACTCAATAGTTAACCATTCTTCTTTCATTTTTCGAAGATTATGCTCAAGAGAATATTCTTTAGATGCTATCACGCTAATTTCTTCAAGTTTTTCAATGTAATTCAGTAAACCAATGTCAATCATTTCAGAAAGTGTTGATGAATCATTCGGATGTAAATCTACACCAACATTTTTACTGATCTAAAATTAATATTTTTTATATTTAATTATTTTATATTTTGATTCAATTATATAAATTAAAAATTAAATTGTAAATTTATCATTTAGATTACCTCTGCCCAATGTCTGTCGTGAATACCCGGATTGCAAATTGTCTCCAGTACAGGTAAATACTTTTTAAAGTTATCTACTCTACCACGAATAATTTCTGCCACTCTTTTTGAACCAGGATAATCCTGAAGAGTTCTGGCTAATTTATAAAGATTTTTTCCACATATCATCAACTATTTCTTTTATTTCTATTGCATTCAAATCATAAAAAGGCCCTGAAATATATTTAAATACATTTCATGTTAATTTATGTTTACTAACACAGAATCTATATTTACCATTGAACCATACTTCATAGTAGTTATGAAAATCACGAACAATGTGCCACAATCGGTCAAATGGCTCACTAGCTGCAACCATTGAATGAAGTTGAGTGTATGGTGTTACCTCGATATCCAAAAGCTTTTCCGTATGATTTATGCTCTAAGTTATATTTTATAATTATTAAATATTAAAACATATATTTGAATTTTAATACATAGGCGTATTAGATAGTTTAACACAGCAGTTGATTTAATTTAGATTTAATTAATAAAAAGTTAATTTAATTAAATAAAATAATTTAAAAGTAATTTAACCCAATATATTATACCTAATACAATATATAATACCTTTGCAACAGCAATATCTTCTTTGAGAAAATTTGTAAGACGTTCAACTTCTTCAGTTGCAGCTATAATTTCATTGCTTGTTAGAATTGGAGGATCTTTTCTTTTTAAGTTTTCTAACAACTTCAAATGATTTTTAAGGCTATAAAATTCAAGAATTTAATCATAATTATTCAGTATAATTAAAAAACTTTCTATGTACTCAAATTCAAATTCGGTTTTTTTTAGATTTCAATTGGCCTTCTACAACTCCTTTCTTTTGAATAACTCTACTTGTAGCTAAATCTAAATAGTGTTCAATAACTTGGGGCCATCGAAATGCTTGAGATGAGGAATTTATATCCTCATCTAAAAATTATTAATTTGTTAAATAAAAAAATGTTTAATATAATAAAACAATAAATTGAAGTTTAAAATTTACCTTTAAATTCTGTGTATTCAAAAAGAAACATAATATAATCTCCAACAGTTCTCAATAAAGCCTTCATTTCTGATAGCGTAGAGTACCGACATTCATCCACATATTTACTTAATTCTACTAAATCTTCAGTCGTATCAGGCATTTCTGAAGACTTAGCAATCATCAGTTTATATGCATTATTTATTCTGAAAACAAGTTTTATAATATTTTAACTATGATATTATATTACTATTTTTATTTAAAAAAATGTTAAATACCTAGAAATATTTGTTTGAGTTAAACTCATATAATAGTTTAAAATTTTGTTCTTCAAGTTTTTGACTATGTTTTTTAGATTTAAATTAACTTCAGTTACATCTAACATCATTAAATTCAATTCTACCTGAGCTCTTAGATTGAGGATATCATCATTTATAGCTATGTACTTGAGGACCCATTCATTAAACTCCTGACAAGTAAACAAGATATATTTAATAATTTATTTTAAATATAATGTTTTAATAATTTAATTCTAGAATACATACGCTTAATAATGGAAATGGTTGGATTTCAAAAAAATGTATTTAAGGCTTCAGTTTCTGTGCCATTTAATAAATAGGAATATATTTCATAATAAGTTATGAATGTTTCTGGCCCTGGAAAATTGTTTTCCAAAATGTTACCAATTTCTACCAACATATTTTGTACCTCTTCTTCAGATTCATGCACATTTTTTAACACCATATTAGAATCCCCTTTGTATTCTATAACATTTGAAATAATTTAAATGAAATTAGAACCTATATCTTCCTTTACATTGATTTTATAATTATGTAATATTATTGTTTTGTATTACCACAGATTATTTTAAATTTATAATATTACCTTTTACTAATAATTGTTCTATTCTAGGAATATCTTCAACTGCTTTAATTATTTTTCGCGGAATTGACAACAAAAGTATTAAGCAGTCTTCGCGAGTTGGTTCAAAAGAGATTTCAGTTGAATTAGGATTAGGTACAGCTTTTAGAATAAAAAATGGTAAATTTATGAACATGTTATTCTTATACTCGGCATCTATTTTATTTCCATTCTAAAATTATATGACATACCTATACATTTTAATTTTTTTTAAATAATTATTTTTTACCTTATATTCAAGTATTTTATTCATATAATGTTTCAGAGACTTGAATACAGCTTGTCTCAATTGTCTGGACATGGTAGCTGCAACACAATCGAAAAATTTTTGAATTTGATGATCTGATGGATTCAAATCATGTGTTGGTAATATGTCTCGAAAATTTTCATTTATTTCTAAAAATAAATCAGCGCACTCAACAATCCATCTAAAGATATATAATTTATTAAATTTGATACACATCTGATTTCCTCTAGTAGTATTATTAATAAAACTAAAAAATCATACTCATCAACTAGTTTGCATCGAAATTGTTCACACGATTTTTCCAAAAATTCTTGTAAATATTTTGGTTTTATAGGTATACCAACTCTTTTTAAATTTTTTATTGGAAATATATAACCTTTAGAATACCTTTTAAAACAGACAAATTAAATATGTAAAAGCAAAATTACAAGACAAAAATTTCTCTATCTGCTTACTTTTTCCATACTTTATCCAACTTTAATATAGATTCTCTAAAAATATATAAATTATGGATTAGCCGTTCTTTATTAATAATAGTCATGTGATGCCAAGGCACAGGGCCTCTAATTAACATTGAAGAATAATCAGGTCTATAGTAATTTGTAATTCCGATTCTCTTTAATTCATCTGGATCCATCATTATGTAATCTAAAAGTATTTTTCGACTAGCAAAATCGTAATTTTTTTCGTATTTCATTTTCCAATTTTATCATTACAGAGTTATATCTGGTTAAAATTATTCAATATATATTAATTACAATTTGTCAAGCATACATGTAAATGTACATGTAGACTTAGGTATATCATATGTTAGGTTAAATTAATAAATTAATAAACTTAATTAAGCATTATTATAATAATAATTATTTAATGTTGTTTGTTATTTTATAGTTGAATATTATTATCTCTCAAATGTCTTTAATAAATGTAGCTATTATAAATCTACAGTAAATATAGGTAGAAGGTGCTTACTTTTTTAACAAAATTGGCTTAATACGAGTTTTTTTTTATATTTTCCAAAACATTTTCTGGAAACGGATTAAATAAATCATTAGCTATTCCCTGAAATATACAATACAATTTAGTTTAGATGTTAAGTGAGAAATTAAATAACTATACAATAAATATATTTTGTTCTGAACAAATTTTAAGTAAATTAATAGATTAATTTAATCGATTTTGATGATTATTATTTTAAAGTACTTTCTTTTATCTTTATTATCAGAAGCTAATTTAATTTTTTTTAATTTTTATTAATAGCTTCTAGTATAAAACTATGATAGCTCAACGATTAAAAATATTAATGTAAATATTTTATATTTTAAAGTTAGTTTCCAAAATAAAAGAGATTACATTTTTATAGCAGTTTCAGATTTAGTATTCAGTATGGAATGGGGATTAAAATAAATATTGAGAATTTTTAGAGAATTTGGCGTTTAGCCCGAAGAGCAGGGCAATCAAATGAAATATGTGGAAGGTCACAGATACATTCATTTAAATTAAGTGTGTAGGAAGGAGAGTCATTTAGGCCGAGTTTAAATAAGTAACTAGGAAATAGATTGAGATAAATTGGAAAATGTATGGTCTATGTATTTGTAATTAATTGAACCACGTTTTATTAAGGACATTTAGAATAATATTTCTATATCTCAAGGCGAAATTCACCAGTAGGTTATTCTAGTAGGAGCAGGGGCGTATTTATGGGAGGGCCGAAGGGTCCGGTCCCCCTCCGAAATGAAAAACACCATTGTTAAAGATTATTATATTTAACATGGATATGTCTTAATGCTGGGAGTTTCCGAAAATTTGTCGCGACACTGAGAATGTTGCTTATGCGATAATTTAAAATTTTATATTTATAAAATATGTTTATTCTTTTAAGAAAATATGCAGTGAATTTTGAGAGACTGTAATAAAAAAATTGTTTATTACAATGTAGTTTTATACTTTTAAAAAATAACAAATCATTAAAAAAAATTGAGTTTCTTATTTCTCCGATGGTGTAAAGACAATCGAGAAGTCTTATAGTGTTAAAGTAATTTTTTTCGTAATAGTGTGCTTCCTCCTTCCCTTCCATCCAAAAATCAAATACATGATCGGCCTCCTCCAAAATGAAAACCTATATACGCCACTGAGTGGGAGGATCATTAATTGGAAGTATATATTTTTATCAAAGGGTTAAAATCAGACTGGGGAAGTTTAGTAAAAGAAAGGTAGATTATATTAGATGTGGATTTAGCTAGTTTATCAGCAACCTCGTTATCTAGTATCCCAGTATGACTGGAAATCCAAATGAAGTGAATATTATAATTTAATTGATTTAAGGATAAGACAAGTGACCTAATGCAAAGAACAAGTAGCAATAGACGAGAATTGAATGGGTTTGAGTTTAAAGCTTGAAGGAATGACATAGAATCAAAGGATATTAAATAGTTATTCGGAGCAAAATTGGAAATTGGTGTTAAGGCTTCAATAATGGCATAGCACTCCGTCGAGAAGGAAGAAGACGAAGGAGGTAGATTACTTGTAAAATTAACTCCGGAGTATATAGTAGAAAGTAGTGATGGGAATTATTCGAATATCAATATTCGATGCTACAATACAATACGTAACGGAATATTCGTTTACATTTTTGGGCAATACAAAACGTTTAATAATAATATTATATAGCTTATGGTGCAAAAAAGCCTGCGTGAAGTGGATTCGAAGCCAGCAATATTTACTATTTGACAGGACAATTAAAATACAAAAATAAAAATTGTGCAAAATACTGGAATATCTTAATTAAATTATTATTAATACAGTATAAACTATAAATTACTATAGCGAGCATCGCTTAAAACGAGATACTACTTACAACAAGCAAAACGTTAGGTCCCGACAACGCACATGAATGTATGTTAAAATATACGTCTACAACGAATATGGTTATTATGAATTATCGGCTATAACGAGTAAAATAAAGCTAACTACGAACAGGTACCTGCAAGATAAGAACTATTTTCGTATTTAGGTTGATTAATCAATCATTAACATACATTATCTTTAGTTGTGTAGATATGGATTACTTATTAATAATAAATAGTATAAATAGCTTGTAATGGAAAAACGGATAAAACAAATTAGGTATTGTAGCATCAAATACTGATGTTCGAATGATCGAATATTCAAATTATTTACTGTAGAACTATTCGAGTTTGAATATACATTACATTACTAGTAGAAAGTATAGCCGGCAGAAAGGGAAGACAGGAAGGGAAATCCATCTATATAAACAGCGACGAAATTCGAAAAATTATCATTAAGAAATTTTGAAAAAACTACATTAACCGAGCAATGCAACGTTTATATATTTAATTTTATTATTTAAAATCTTTTTAAATAGCTTAATTTTTGAAACGATGTATGGATTATTCAATCTAATAAATTGTATGTAATAATATTTTTTTGGCTTATCTTAAATTAATTAAAAACTAAGAAGCTAGTGTCAGATTATAAAGTTGTATTTAATAAATAATCTTTACTGATTTCAGTAAAGTAGGTACTTTATATTTTATATTTTATTCATTTATTTTTGCATTATTATTATAATGACATAAATGTACAATTATAAAAAATATTTAATAATATTGTCTTACTTCATTCAAATAATAATTAATTATTTGTTTGTCTTCTATACTAATAATCTTGTTTTTCTTTTTTTTATTCCATTTTTTCTTTTAGTATTTTTAATTGATCATCAGGATTTAATGCAGTACAAGTTTGTATAAATGAACTGTAACTAAACAGAAAAATAATCTATAACTAAATAACTAGAACACCTGTTAATTTTTCTTGTTATAGTGTCAGTTGCTAAATTTAACAATTTTAAAGGAATGATAATCATAGTATTCAAAAAAAAGATTCTTAGTAAAGTATAAATGTAGTATAAATATAATATTAAAGAAGTATACTATCAAATAGGTGATATTATTCTTATACCATTAACAATCTTAAGCCATAACAGTATAATATTAAAAAAGCATTCCAAGAAGAACTTAACAAACAATAGCCAATTAGAAATATCAATCAAAAAATCAAGCACATACAGTGGCAGACGCAGTAAAAAATGTCGGGGGGAGGGGGTTTTGAAAAAATAAGAATAATTACCGTCAGGCCCGTATTTAAAAATTTGACGCCCCCGGGCATATTATTTATGCCCCCCCCCCCAAAAATAAAAAATCAGTAAATAATAATAATATAACACTTATTATTTCGTCCATAATCAAGATTCTTTAATATTAAAATATAACTTATAAATGAAAATCGTCTAATACTTTTTTTAATTAACAAATTAAACAAATTATAACATGATAAAACATACTTTTTTCTTTTTTTTATTGTCTTATTATTTTTTTTTTTCAATAGGTACATAATTTTTAAAATTTATTTTGCTGCCCTTGAGACTTGACGCTCCCGGACATGTGCTTACCTTTGCCCTCTCTAAATACGGCCTGATTACCGTTATTTTGAAATAATTGACTATTGACTATAGATAGACTATTGTCGATGGTTATCACATGACCATACAACACAAAATTTAGGGAAACCGTCAATCATAATGTACCATTGTAAATAATATTATATCGAATACATATATTTACTTATTTTTACTTACTGATAATAAGCGACTTACAAGCACACATTATTTTTACGAAGTATTGCCATCATGGAATTTTAAAAATTTAAGTTTTAACAGGTTAACTGCCACAGTAATTTTTAATGTTAATAAAATATTGTTAAGTGTACCAGTTATGGTACACGGCTGAACATTACATTCGTGCTACGTGTACTATTTAAGGTACACTGGAATCATTGACAAATACTATTCTAATACTTAAAACATAAATTAAAAATCTTATTTTGTTATTGTTTTAGCTTAGCGAAATTGACAAACATTGTAACAAATGTTATGCGTTACTTGGAAATACTACAGTGTACCATATCTGGTACACGTGGCAGTTAACCTGTTAAGTATCAATACCTTTTAGAACGTTTGGAAAATTACAAATTATTACAAATTCACTTTTCTTAACAGAACATTTTTTTT